ACGGTAGGGGTGATCGGAGGCTGAAGCACAGCACACAGCTTTCGCCTTGTGAAGACCGGGTAAGGTTGTTTATTCAGCTGTGCGCCGTAATTCCTTCCAGCTGTTGCAGGTAGGCTGTAAGCACAGTCATCCAAAAGCCTGGTTTAATACTTACTCGTAAACCTTTAGCACAGTTCCTGAAAGAGCTGAAAAGCGAAGTGATGGCATTACCAGTTAACTTGCTTGAGTAATGACCCAACTTGAATTTCTCAGGCACCCTGTAAAAGGCCTCTTAAATCAGTGAGAAAGGCTTGATCCTGCTCTGCTGCAAACGTCCCTGGTACCCACTGGAGGCCCCAGGTGTTGTAGGTGCTTGACAGAGCGAGCTCCTCATTCAGTGTTAGACTAACGAGCTATTAATTTCTTTATACTGATTCCAGGAAAACATATCAAGCTGCGGAGCAGAAGGTAAGACCAGGCTCTTAGTGGGTGACCACCTAATCCTGTGCTGGAAATACAACCACTGCTGGGAGCTGGTCCATGGTTTTTTTAGTCTCGCTCAAAAGCTGGGGTATATAAGGGATGGAGTTTTAGGATGAGGCCCCAAGCCCAGAAATGGAAGTAATCTCAAGCTATCTCATATGTAGCAAAAGGGAAGTTTTACAAGCCATGAACACAGGAATGAGGGTCTCTGTTCAGTCCGAAGCAGAAGGCTTAGCCCTCCCTGCGCTCTTGGGCAGCTCAGGGGGAGAAGGAACAACATCCTGTGTCAGCTGGTGCCTCTCACGGCCTCTGGGCTTCAGAGCCCTTGTTCAATCTGAGAGTGGCTGTCAAAAGTATCCAAAAGCACTCGCTTCCCAGCATGAAGGTCTCTACATCTCTGCACAGACAGCCTGGGATGAAAACGTGTGGTCTCCAGAGCTGCTGTGCGACGCTGTTGTGTGCACGTGTTGTGATGGACGTGGTGCCCTACAGGTGAGGCAGACAGCTGTGTGTGTTGCAGCAGAGAAGAGACCACGTGTGTTGCTGTCCGTGTTGTTTGTGCGACGGCAGTCGTGTCAGACAGCTCGCTGCCAGGCCGCTCTGACTGCCTTCCATGAGGCACCAAGGTACTTGGTGTCTGTGGGACTCGGTTTCTCTCTAGGCTGCGAGACCTGTCCGCTGGGTCTTGATGTGAGGTCTGCCGTGCCAAACCTTGCCTTTTACTTGCTGGGTGTTGCTGTGTGTTTGGGGCACGGCTGCCACGAACACTTCTGCTGCCCGCAGCGTTGCGTGTCATGCCGACGTGGTGCGAGGTCCCCTGTAGGCAGCGTGGTTGTCCTGAGCCCATATCCAGGCCTAGCCTCTAATGGCTTGTGCTGCGTCCGCACTTCAACAGGCTGCTCAGCTGCATCTGTGCCGCAGCTCGGTGCCGTCTTCGGGGGGAGAGAAGGCTTCACAGCTTGTCCTGCAGCTGTGGCAGTGATGCCATCTGCGTCTTCCACAGCAAAACCACCTGGTAGTGGCATTGGGGAATGGAGATCACGGGCCTGGATGGGCCTGCGCCAGATAGGGCACAGCTGAACCGGTCGGGTGGCGCTGCTGACAGCCACGCAGATGGAGCCATTAGTCACCACTGACAGCATCAGTCCCAGCGACAGGGCTGGTCTGGGCCTTCCCCAGAGGCACTAGAGAAGACTGGTCCAGCTGTTCCTCCCTGGCAGGGTCTTCCTCACAGAAGGGGAAACAACCACCATCTAGTTGCCTAGTCTTAAAGGCTGGGTTAATCCTGTTCCTGAATGTTTGCTGCCCACCTCTGCAGTCTACAAAGAGCTTTTCCTGCTTAAATAGAAATGTTTTACATGTGGAAAAAGGCTCCCTCTGAAAGCAGGGTCATTGTTTTTTTATCAGGACACTTCCCTAGGACCACGGGTTCAAACAGCAGGAGGGCAGGTCGGGCTTTGACCAAACCCCAGTGCTCCTCTGGAGCTGCTCACCTCGGCCAACACACAAGGGCCCCAGTTTCTCCATCAGCTCTTCACTGAAATCTGGGCGGCCCCTGCTGAAGTCCATGTGGCTGCATCTTCGCTACTACCCTGTTACACCTGCGAGGTGGGATAAAGCCGGGCTGGGGATGTCTTGCCGTGCTCTGGGCACATGCTTGTTTGCCTGCCGGACAAGCGGGTCGGGATTACCTCTGGTCTGTTTGCACAGCACACGGGGTCCTGATCCACGACCGTGTGCTGCAATCAAATCATTCGTGAATGTTGAGCAAGAGCCTGAGCCAGCAGCGACCCAGCCTGCCCTCGCATCACCGGGTGCAGCCTGCGCGGCCGGGTCACAGGTCACAGGCCACGCTGCTACCCTGAAGGCCTTGCAGCCGAGGCACCAGGCCTGTGTGTGTGTGACGAGCTGGAGACACCACCGGGAATGAGTCTCCAGGTGTGTTTTGAACCGGTTTTTATTGCAAATCATGTCTGGGGGACAGTCTAATCTTTACAAGTCTATGCGATTTACAATTACAGAAGAACCCAGCGTCTTTTAAGAACATCATCTGTAGCAAATCGGTTTTGTGAAAAAATATATTCAAAAATTTAAATAACAAAAGAAAATTAAGTTCACAGTGGAAAAAACCCACAGAAATGTTAAAAATACTTTGTCAGTGTCTCGCACCTCTCATTAGTCCTGATTTCGGGGGGCTTGCAGAAATCAAGAGAGTCAATTTACTTTGATAACCCTGTAAAGAAATCGAGCAGCATTCTCACTCCTGATGAGCCAGGAAGAGAAGAGGGTTGTAGGCAGAGTTTTCAGCTAGCCCTGAAACTGGTGTTTGGTGTCTTACCTACTGGCTTGCTTCATAGATTCGTATCTCCTCGAGGGACAGCGCGGGAGTGCTGCAGCGGTCGTTTGCTGCAACACAAACCTGTTTGTCCCCTGCAAGAGCAGCAATTCAGTCAAGTCCTCTTTCCACATTTCTTTTTAAGTAAAGACGAGAAGTTTGCCTGGGCATCCTGAAGGAAAGCCAGGGCCTGCTCCAGCCAGCGGGAAGCCAAGCCTGCTAACGCTGTCCTGGTCAGAAGGGGCTTCAGGGCCATCGGGCAATTCCAGTCTCAGGGCTGGACCAGCAGTGAATTTCTTCCCTTAGCGGGGGAGCCCCAGCCAGAAGCTCAGCTCTGCAGGGCCTGCCTGGCAGGAGCTGCTCTATTAAAAGCACACCCTCTTCTGCGCTTGGCCACAAACTGGCCAGCCCTGTGCTCATAACTTGCAGAGTTCAACCAGTTTCCCTGCGGCAGCTAGCGCCGGATACAGTCCATTGCCAGAGCACCTGCAAGCAGCACAGTTAAACCTCACTAAAACGCAGGCAGAAAACAGACCGTTAGAGCAGACCATTCCTGCAACGGAGGTGTCTCTCTCATCAGTAATGGTAACTCGGGCTACATGGACTGAAACTTCGCCTGATATTGTTTGGATGATGAGGGTTGGTAAGTGGCCTGGCTCACTGTCTGGTTTTAGTACCCTTCCCTTTGTTTGTTAGAATCCAGAAATATTCATGGCAACAGTTAAATACTTTCAAGAAGCAAAATTCATGTAGGACTTTCTCCAGTGGCATCGTGTGGTGTGTGTGGATTCACATCTCTGAGCTCTCTAGAGAAGAGCAGATACTTGTGTAAAATCTTCCTAACCAGTATTTGTTATAAAGATGATGAAATGTTAATTATTTCAGACCTCTGTGAGCCTGCTCCATATCAGTTGTTTGCACAGTCCCTGGCATACGGTGATGAAGAGGGAAAGCTGCACCCAGCAGCGACAGCGATAGGAGGAGGAGCAGGGAGATGCAGGAAACCGTGCATGTCCTCAGAGAAACCTGGCAAGTGAGGAGTTAGTGGCAGGTTTCACCCACCACAACTTATTTGCCTGTTAAAGTTTACCACGTTTCTTACGTGGGGCTAAGCATCCCCTTTCGTGCAGGGCCACCCCAACCCGAGAGCACTGCAGCTGGTGATGCAAAGGCCTGCTGCTGACCCTCTGCGGGCAAGTGTCACCTTCATGCACGAGGGCCAAGTCGTAGCGGGGCAGCTCTGGTGGAGTCCTGAAGTCAGGCATCGACTCTGGCAGATCTCGGGGTGAGCAATGTTACAGCTAAGTGGCATCCAGGCAGCTCAGAGCCACTCTGCGGTAAATGCTGATCAAATAAAGTGATCCGCTGCGGTATACATCCAAATTCTCAGAACAATTTAGTAATGGGATCAGCAATTCATTTCAAGGCAGTTCAAATACTCCTAGTGGATCCTTTCCTAAGGCTAAGCCTAGTCCAAGTGCCTACCACCTGCAGGGGCGTTTAATTTTCCATAATGTAACTGGCTGTAACTGGGAAGAACAGCGGCACGGGAGCTACGAGAGTTCTGCCACAAGTCAGTCGCTTGTCCGGCCTTGCCATGGTGCGAGAGGGAAATCCTGCCCCTAGCACGTAGGTTTTGGGATTGCACTCAGTAATGAAGGTAGGAAACTCTTCCTCTGTTAGTGAGACTCCCTGACCTGCTGTTTGTCACCTACTAACGCTCAACGTGAGGTTTGTGCCGACTCCGTGGCAGTGAGAGAATTGCTGCTGACGTGAGCCATCAGGTGCCAAAGGGACAGAAAAAGGAGGGGCATCGTAGCGCTGGCCCCTGCCCTCTGTTCTCCTGCTGGGGCCGAGCACCCCCGTAGGCTGCAGCGCATTTTGCCTAGACACAGTTCTCTGCATAGTCCCTGCGAAGCGTTCGTTTGTTCTGCTGCCCGTGCTGCCCCAGTGGTTTTACAGTTTGCAGGAGTCAGGACACAACCACCACAAAAACCCCAAACTAGGTTTTTCCTCCCACATCCTAGAGAAGCTACAGAGGAACAGGAACGCCCTAAAAAAAGCATCTCGGACTTCAGCAAATACATACAGAAGTGCTGCGGCAGAGCTGGTGCCTGGGAATGTCCTCATATCAGCCTCTCGGTTGGGGGCATCTTGATCACGTTCCACATCTCCACACGCGCACCGTCTTTCTCTTGCCGGCTGGGGCTGTACGTTCCCTGAGTGGCTCTCCTTTTCTTCATGGCAATCACTGAGCCTGCAATAACTGCCAGGAGCAGAGCTGCCCCCGCAGCCCCGACTGCGCCCACAACCGAAGAGTTGCTAAGATGTGCCCACACGGGCTGCTGTGATGGAACAGGGTTATTGCCATTACTCTCAGAGCTCATCTTCATGAAATGTAATATTTCCCACCAGAAAAAAAAATCAAAGCTGCTTCCTCCCTGCCCCCTTACCACTTCCCAAGCACAGTTTTGCAACACTTCCAGGCCAGCGAGAAGAACAAACCATTTTCTCGTGATTTTCAGAGCATGCGAAAGCTGCTTTGTGCAAAGCATCTCATGTTGCTGATGGGAGAACCACCTGCTTTAGGCAACTACCAAATGCCCAGCTTCCCCCTCCTTGTCTGTGGGGCAGCACAGTCCCCATCCGTCCATTTTGTAGCCTACAGGGACTGCCCAAGGGCCAAGATGAATGTGCTCCTGTCTGACACTCCACACATGTTTACTGAACCCTTTCAGAATTGGAAAAGGTCAGGCATTTGGCGTTAGGCACTGAACTGCCACAAGCACGGCAGGAACGCGTAGCTCCTGCTCCGAGTCGGGGCTGCGATTGCACACGTCCTGTGCGGTACCCGTGGGAATGTCTAAGGCTTTACCCCAGGCAGCGGTCACTTGATAAAACACGTCGATTGTGCAATGATGGCAGTAGTTCCTGACAGCTCTTTCCAGCGTTGCGTGTGTCAGGAGGCAGGAGTTCACAGCTGCTGTTGCTGTTGTGGAAATGGTGCAGGGGGGGTTTCTACCACTCATCCCAACTGGCTTGAAACTGGTTTGAAAAGTTGGGGAAATTAAACAGCGTATACAGTCTGTTCATAAATATCCTCTACACCTCTCCAGCTCTAACAAGAAAGTAGCTAGTTTTCTTTGCAACGTAAGCATAAGCTGTTGTTGTAGTGCCTAATTACTCGTCTTTTGAAGTAGTCTTTAATAATCTGAGTGCGGTGTGACAGTGGGGCTAGGGACATCTCCTACCAGGTGCAAACACCTGAATGGCTTCAAACAGCTCCTATGCTAGTCGAAGAGGGACAGTCCAGAGGAGAGGAGGGTAAAAAGCTCATTTTGAGCCAGGAGTCCAGCAGTGCACAACTGACAGTGAAAAGTGAGCCAGCTGGAACAGCCATTGCTAAAACAATCTTCCAGGCACTTGTAAGTCCACGGCCTCGTCGCCATGCCTCAGAGGGACTGAGCTCGCATGGATCTGCTGGAGCAAGTGCTGGAAAAGTCACAAGGTCTAAGCAGACCCTGGCGTGCAGCTCCTTGCCGTGGCGACACCTATATTAAGCGTTCTTCTGGTGGCACTTTCAGGACACTGTCCATCTCCAAGCGCGCTCCTGCCACCTCTTGCTGGCTGGGGCTGTAGGTTCCCTCTGACTGGCGCCTCTTCCTTGCAGTGAGAATCATGAATATGAGACCAATAATAACCAGGAGTAAACAGCCACAGGCTACAGGGACAGCTACTTCAAGTAATGGGAATGGGAAGAAAGCACCTGGAGTCCCTTTCTGTAAAAGAAATTAATGAAGACACAATAAGAGCCCAGTCGTTGTAGGGAACCGAGTGCAGCTTATTCATGCTCGGGAAGTCACAGGAGCCCAAACTGGCAATGCCTTGGCCCGCAGAGAGGTGGAAATCATGGGGCTGGAGGGCCGCTGCAGAGGGAAATGCTGGGCTGGCTCAGTCCTCAGTCTGCCATCACACTGCATGCACATTTCTTACACCAAACCAGCCAGCTGAGGACTGAAGGATCATTGCCTAACGGCCTCTCCACGTGCCTGAGCTCATTAATGCACATGGGCACTGATCAGCGGCTGTTCTCAGCCTTCAAAAAGGCCAGTGTCCCTCACCTTGGTGTGTATCGGACGCAAAAAGCTGAGCGTCACCAGTGGGATAGTTAACAACACTGCTAATTCGGGCAGGCCGGCTGCAAGAACAGAGAAGAGAGGGGGTGCTAAGCTGGGGAGAGAGCCGACAGAGTAAAACTAACCGCATGCAACTCGTGAGGCTGATCCCAAGGCTAGAAAACAACTACAGAGGACAGAGTCTGAATGAACCCGTAAGGAAGAACACCTGTTTTTGTTAGCAAAAGCAGGCTTAGAGTCTGGGCTGCGCATCAGAGATGGTTAGAAGAAGTGAAATGGTCCAACTAACCTCACAGGCTCCATACGCTCCTACAAAAGGCTTTAATCTGACGTATGGATTGTCACTGGGGGCAGGTCCTGGAGATGTGGCTGCCTGCGCAGCCAGGACCCAGGCTGGGGGTCTTGTACTGTGAGGAGATGCAGACTAACTGCCGGCTGGGTGGGCCGTGCTGGGTGGGAACCAAATGCCTAGACAAAAACCATGCTGTCAGAAGCTGACAAAACATGGAGGTAAGTCGAGGAAGGCCCCTTCTGCAGAGAGGGATGGCAAGGATGGCTGGTTTAGCAATTCCTCTGCTAGTGCTTTAAGAGTTTATATAGCTCTTAAGCTTTCTGCCGCAGCAAGATTAAACCCACAGGCCTCTGTCTGAGAGCTTCCTTGCAGAACTGTATCTGGGACATAGATTACCATAAGCTGACTAAGAACAGATGTTTGCAGGGCTCAGCATTTAATAGAGCTGAGAGCCAGAGGAAAGGCTGCCTGGTACAAAAGCAAGAATTAGCAGAGCAAGACCATCTCTACCGCACCGGAGCCTCGCAAGGCACAAGAACAACAAGAGGCTTTAAAATATTTAAATGACAAACGGCCAGCTCTCAGTGCCTATGGCTGGATAGCTTCTGTGCTGAGCATTGCTGAAGTGTGATCTTCAGCCACTTACATGGGAATTGTGTTTTTTAAAAGCTTAGGCAGTTCCTAGCTTTAAGAAATGCCTCAAGAGCAGGCCTAGGCAGATGCTGTCTAATGGGGAATTTCAGGTGCTACCCTTTCTCCTTCCCACTGGGGCAGAAAGGAGTAAAGCAGCTGTGCTCACTTCATGCTCTGCTCTCATGACAGGCACCTGTGAGCTGCTCCGTACTTGGACAAGAGACCTGGAAGACAACCCCCGGGTGCTGAAGGAAGCTAGCGTATGGCTGTGTGGCTCCTTCAGCATCAAAGGTGCCAAAAAAGGGGATTAGGAAACAGCAGAAACGTTGTGGGCTCTTGGGAGTTGCCTCAGTAAAGAGTCTTTTTATTTACAAGGACAACCAGGCTCAAATGTGGTTACCTGTCGGGTTACAACCAGCAGGGTCTGAAGCTGGAAGAGATGAGAGAAGTTCTGCTGGAAGACTAAACACCTCTGCTCGCGCTGTGCGTGCAGTCTGCCACCTCCCTGGCCTGTTGCGTGGGAGCGCAGGGGAGAGAACGTGTTTAAAAATAGGGACGTGTGATGCTGGAGCCAGGACGCTGGGCAGGAGGCTCCAGCAGGTGCAGGTCAGGCAGCAGTTTTGGCCCCTTTTCATTCTAAGGGGTGACAGTCGGAGCTGAGCTGCTGCTACCCTTTACATATACACCTCCCTACCGCTTCCTCCTGCATAGTTCAAACTCACAACGAGTGCCAAGAGTTAGGCTCAGCCTTTCACAAGTCCAGAAGAACAGACTCTGTATGTTTTAGGAGAAATTCATGGCAACTAGTGCCATCGGTAACACCCTCTTCCCCACCATGGGCACGATGAACTAATGGCAAAAGGGGAAAACGATGCAATAGGGAAGAGATGGCAAACAGTAATAGAGGAAATTGCAGGCAGGATCCTGTGACAGAAGAGATGGCTCAGAGCATCTGGCTGCGTTTGGCATGCAGATCAGAAAGGTAGAGTGGCTTCCGCAGGGCACATGCATTGATAACAGCAACAGCAGTGAAACCTGCTTTCCATGCATTTGGGGTTAGTACATTCCCAGGGGACCGCACGCTCCCTGCCCATGCAAGTGGCGTCAGAGACAGTAGCTGGTAGTGAAGGGAGTAAACCATGTAGGAAGCTGCTTTCTACTCTGCTTTAGCACAGTCCTTCCCAGTTTTGCAGCGTGAACTGGCAGAGTGGTTAGCAAGTCAGGAGTGTTAACACTCAACCCTGCACCACGGACACAAGCTCTGAGTAAGCAGCAACGCAATATAGAACAGCTTTGCTAAGACCATTGTTCTCAGTAGCAGTCGTCCTGCTGGCAGGTGTATGAGAACTGTGTTTGTTTCTCCCTTAAATCCACAGCTTTTGGCTTTCCTGGGATTTAGTTGGGTTTCCGTTAGCAAAACACTTCTGGTCTCAGTGGTGATGGTAGCAGCTTTTCTTTCCAGGTCAGGTTCTTTTCATACTTATTGTCTAATCTGAAAAAATCTGCAGTGAATTTCAGAGTCCAGCTAGAGAGCTATGGTGGCCTCAAGGTCTAAACCTTGCGGGCATATCCCTCCCAGCTTTACTCCTATCCGACCCGGTATTTCGGATACAACCATGTTTCCTTTTTGCACGGTTGTAATGAATGCTTCGGGTGTCCACTTGCAGCACAGTGAGCTCACATGCAGCCCTGCCTGCCTCTGGCTCAGATGCAGCTTGCTTTAGCGTTGCCCACAGAGCGGTACTGCCTAAGGGGCTGAGAGCACCAAGGAGCCTGGCTTCATGGCAGCCCAGGCAGACACTGAAAAATAGCTGCTGCATTTACGTACCATGTTGCAAACTACAAACCAGGGGCTAGGCTAATGTTCAGGCTGCTTACTGACTCCCTGCTCACCAGCCACCTCTGTGCTGAGTTCCCAGCCAAGCCTGCTAGTTCCCTGTAGCTGGATGCATGTAGGGGTGTAAAACATGTCAGAGGAAGGTTATTGGGGATGAACCCTGGCATCAGGATTCTCAACTTTCCTCCGACTGGCCAAATTGCTGCTTCTGCTCCCAACAGCCCAAGCGGTTAGTAAAGGAGAGGGGGCCTGCCGGTAGCAAGAGGAGGAAGGAGCTACTTACATCAATGTCACAGTGCTCCCCTGTGTAGCTTGCACTGCACACACACTCGTACTTGTTCACCGCGTCCTGGCATGTCCCTCCATTCTGGCACGGGTTTGGATCACACTCATTGATATTAATTTGACAGCTGCAAGGGGAGAGAGCATGGGAATTAAATGACAAGCGTCTCCTGCCTGCCACTAATCCAACAACGTGCCCTGGACCGCATCGGGGCAGCACTTACTTCCGTCCGGTGAAACCCGGCTTACAGGTGCAGTTGGCTCCCCACGGGCCACTGGTGCATTTGCCACCATTCAGGCAGGTGAAGTTTTTGCCGCATTGTTCGGGGGGAAACGGCCATCTGGGAAAAGCAGAGACGGCTGTTACTGATGTCCTGTTCAACACGACGTACACGGACACACATGTACCTACACGTGTGGTGCTGGGTGGAGGATGCCCCGGAGCCAGTTAGGGACCATCTCAGCTGAGATGACCTCTGAGAGCTCCTCCCAGGGCTGAGCTTGGAGCAGTGAGGCAGGACCGTGATGGTGTGTGAACACTTGTAGGTTGTGTCAGGCCTGGGACTCTCTACAACTGCCTCGGTGAGCACCATAGGAGACAGGGCGCCTGCCTGCCTGCTGCCCTTGCCCGACCGTTCCCCAGAGAAGGCCAAAGGGCAGAGGCAGCAGTTCTGAGGTGCGCTGTCACTGCTGGATCTGCTGAGGAGGTTGAGGGAAAGGGATGCTGTTTGCCACGGCAGGGACAGATGCTTTGGGAAGATGTGCTCAGTTTAGACAGTGGCAAGCGCTGCAGCATGTAAATCGCCACGTGTGGCACCAGGCAGGTGTGTAAAAGGTACATTCGTTCATGTATCTCAGACTGCCCCTCTCCTGCCCTCCACCCAGGAGGCCATCTCTGGGGCCAGGTCTAGCACCACAGGCCACTCCAGCGTGCCTGGACCCTGTCCGTGGTAAAGCATGGAATACCACCTGGCAAAGCATGCCAGGCCACCAGGACACCTGCAGGTCACAGCTGTGTGCTGACATCTCCCTCCACCCGGTGAGATCAGTGAGACCCGCTCAGCACCACACTGCTTTTCCTAACCTCTCGCAAAGGCAAACCCCAGTCCTCCAGGGACTGTCCCATTCCCCACAGTGCCAGCAACCTGAGCGAGGCACTCACTCGCAGCGTGGGCCGGAGTACTCTGGCAGGCACTTGCAGGAATAGCCGGCGACTTCATCGACGCAGGTCCCGCTGTGTAGGCACTGGTGCTGCCCACAGTCGTCCACGTCCACATCGCACTTCTTCCCCACAAATCCCGGGGCACATTCACACTGGAAGTCAGCCACCAAATCCACGCAGGTCCCGTGGACGCACGGGCTGGCCTGGCAGTCATCGATGTTGGCCTCGCAGAGCGGGCCTGCCCACCCTGTGCTGCAAGCACAGCGGAAGGAATCAAACAGGTCCTCACAAGTGCCGGCATTGAGGCAAGGACTTGACCCGCACACATCAGCCCCCGTGCAGCCCAGCTGAATGGCACTGCCCCCAGCCTGCAGGAACTGCTCGGGCTGAGGGTAAGGGAGGTGGGCAGTGAAGGGCAAGTGGATTTCCCCAATGGTCACTTCTCCAAGGCAGCCTGTGAAATTCTCAGCCAGCACAATCAGTGCATTGGTCCTCAAGAAAGCCAAGTCCCCAGCCCTGCCCTGGAGAGTTGCATTCATGGAACTGTCCAAATGAACCAGCCAGCGTGAAGAAAGTGCCGACGGCTCCTCCATGGTCAAAGAGACGGTGTGCCAGGCCCCGTCGGTGACAGGCAACCGACTCCGGAAGCTGGCGCCCTCAATGCTGTTCCCACTGCTCATCTCCACGAGCAGCGAGGAGTTCTGGATGGCGATCTGGAGGGAGCCCACCGCTTCAGTGGCCCGAAGCAAAATGGCATCCGTGTCCCTGGTTCTGAAGTCCAAGCGTACGCTGCTGAGTGTTCTGGTCACCGAAGCGTTGGTGGTGAACTCGGTGGCAGCGTGGCCATAAAACGTGGCATTCGCCAGACCTGCAGGGAAGGGAGATAGTAATAGGGACCTGGGAAGCCCAAGTCTTACCTGGCCTGTAGGCACTGAAGTACCACTTGTGTCTGAAAGTGGATGTGTATGCAGCGTGGATGGATGGATGGATATGCAGCAAGTAGCAAGAGGTCTGGCACAGTGAGGAAATGTCAAACTAGAAGAAGAAAACTGCAACCCACTAGGTGAAGGCTGATCCAGGACAGGCCCCTGAGACAGGCCACGGCCTGCATCACACTCAGGCCAGTTCTGTCTCTGCCTTGCTTTCCCTTCTACCTATAGCAACTGTGTAGGTGGGAACACTGACAAGCAAGAGCCGATCCGCTAGGAAGCTTCCCTCAGCACTTACAGACATAGCCTGCCGGGACATCCACGCAGGCGGTGGCTTTGGGACAGGGGGCACTTTCACACCAGACTCTTTCCTCGCAGGTTTTCCCTGTGAAGTTTGCTGGACAGCTACAGCTGAAGTCATTCCAGGTGACAGTGCACACACCGCCATTGTGACACGGCTTGGACTGGAAAAAAAGGAGAGCTTTGTTCAGGAGGGGCCAGTTCACCTGTGGCTAGAAGAAAGAGTCGGACAGAGGGGAGCTCGACAGCCAGGACGAGTTTGAATGACATCAGAGATGGAGAAGGAGAGAGGAGTGATGCTGATTAAAACAAGGACAGCCTAGAGGGGGGACCAGAGACTTGAGCAGCCTCGTCCTGTCCGGTGATCCTGCTTCTGCCTGCATGTCCTGCTGCTGCAGTGGTGATGCCCTCAGCATGGGGCAGCCTCCACCTAGGAGGGCAAGAGCTACTGGCAGGGCATCCTCCATGTGGACCTCTGACTTGGACTGTTCTCTCTGCTGAAGTGGCTGTCTCCCCAGGAAGGTTGGCAATCCCATGTGCTCCAGCAAATGCTTGGAGACCGGTACATTGGGTTTGGGGTCCCCTCTGGGGTTTATGGGTCTCTGTGGAGTAACGTGTCATGTTATCGATGAGTGGCACTCAGTCACAGGTGCCAAGGGGAAACAGCTCTGGCCTGCTGCAGGCTATGAACTTAGTCACCTGCCACAGCCTAGTGCCTTTGGTTGGCTTCTGCTTGTGGCATGCATGTGGTCAGGGCAGAGCACACAGCTGCCTAACTTGGTGCTGCTGGGGGCTCTGCCCAGGGGCTGGCTCCTACACACAGGCACAGTGCTCGTGTTTGAAAAGCCATCCTGTCACAGAAAGGGGCGAGAATGAGACGGGAGGGAAGCGACGTGGGAGCGAGACCCGGATGAACTGATGGTCACATGCCACACACAAAAGCGGGAGATGTTCCATACTACACCTGTCGTGTGACATTAGGGCCATTTCTTCTGGGAACAGCCTCTCCTTTGCTGCCCACTCCTTTGGTAGCATGAAGAAGACAGCAAGGAAAACACTGGCTACTGATGCACCAAGAAGTCTGATAGTACTAGATAATTAGCGATTAATTGTGTGCAGTTGAGAATAGCCGTCCTGAGCTAAAGGCCAATTCTAAGTCATTAAAAACAAATAGAGAAGGTGCCAATCCCTGCAGGTTTCATTCCATCTCCTTTAACTGAAGCATTTGACATTCGGTGGCATAAGAACACAGCACATCATAACAGTAATCCTTAGCACCTAGATAGCACTTCCCCTTCTCCAAGTGCTCTGCAAACACTGGCTAATTATAACCTATGAAAATACCTTCGCTGTAGTTTGCAGGTGCAGGTGGGAACAAAACTGTGAGGCACAAAAGGAAGGGTGAGAAACACTGGAGGCAAGTATCAAAAAGTCCCTGGAAACAACACCAGGGAGGAGCGGCAATACCTCCCTGCAAGGGCTGCAGGGAAGGCAGGCAGGTGGGGCAGGGAGAAGCACCATCCAGCACAGGAGGGAGGAGAGAGCTTCTTCCTTTCAGGACACCCAGAGACGCCCTGCCCAAGTAGTGCTGGACTCGGTTGTCACTAACATCACAGACTGCCAGGGGATGGAGACTGGAGCGTCTCTGGGGGGAAGGGCTTAGAGGGTACAAGGGTGTTGCGAGGGGCCTGGGGGCAGGCGGTGCTTACAGGTTGCATGCACCAGGTGTCGGCCCCCGAGGAGGCTGCCGTGTGTGCAGGAGACAGTGGACTAGGGAAGTGCTGAGGGGCTGGGTGCTATCACCATTTGTAGCATCTGATGGAGCAGGTTGTTGCCTACGAAAGTGCATGCCTCTCTGAACTACTTAGTCTCCAAGGTGCTGCCCTTCCATTAGCACTTAAATAGTCACCTTTTCCCAGACATCACACCCATAGTTTTGTAGCCCTGCACATTTGCTTGTGATCAGGCCCCGCACACCCGTGCAGAGAGAACAGCGCATTCCTACCTTGCAGGTGTCGTCAGAGATGCAGCCCTGCATGAGGCCAGTAGTTCGTCCCATATACGCCTCCCGTGGTAGGCTGTAGTTGTCTGCCTGATGAGCAAAAAGCTCCAGGCGATGGTTGTTGAGCTGGATGTCTTGAAGACAGCCTTTAAAATAGCCTCCCCATGTCCCCATGCTTTCTTGCTGAGGAAGCCCACCAACATACAACTCGTGGCCAGCTGCAAGAGGCTTCACACCCAGGTGCCCGAGCTCCACCTCTCTGTCTGAATGACTGGCGTAAGCTACTCCTTCTCGGGAGGAGAGTGTCACCAAGTGTCTCTTCCCATCAGCCAGCGCTTCGGAGAGCGCCATGGGGCCTGCAGACGGTGTCTCTAGCAGCAGCCGGCCGTCCTTCAGGTACACAGTGAGGCAGGGTCCGGTCCCATCGTGGACCTGCAGCACCAGGCCCTCTGGCTTCAGCGTGCGGATGAAAAAGGAGACACTGAAGTCGGCCATGGGATTATCTGCAAGCGTGAAAGAGGCAAAGCTGGAGGAATCCTCCAGGCCAAACGTTGCTGCCGGATACTCTGGAAGGGAAAGGAAAGGCACATCATTTCTGCAGGAGGGCAACGCAGGTGCCTTGGGATGTTTCGAGCTACAGCACCTCACTTGGCTTTTCTTCCTCCAGACTAGCTTCCTGCCATGTACCAAAGGAACATGTCTCCTCCTACTGCTGCTGGCAAGCCGGTCCCAAAGGCTTAGGGTGCCAGCATCCCTGCCATTTGTACAGGACAGGTCTGCAGGGCTGCCAATGGCAGGTTTTGCTTGGGAAGTTTAAGTGATAAAGCTGCTTTTTTAAACCTCCCAGCCCCACAGCAGCAGAGGCACGTCTGTCCCTGCTATGTTTCAGGAAGAGGAGTGCAATAGGAAGCACAACAGAATTAACACCAGCCCTGCAGGAATGTGAAAATGCAAACGAGCATGAGCTCAGCCGAGCTTTCCAGTTCAAGAGCTGTCTCAACTGGCGCATCTAGTCTACAACACCTAAGTTCCCGATGGGCAAGTGAACGGACTTCACGGCCCTTCTGCAAGCACTGCAGCTGGCACAAAGAGGAGGTCTGAGCATCTGGCCCTGGCTGGAATAATGCATGTGCTGTGGACCTGGCAGTCACGCCAGCAGGAGCTGGCTCTGCAGTGTCACAACACAGAACAGGATTGGATGGAAATTCTGTTTATACCTGCTTCCTCAGTCTTTGGTTACACAGAAAAGGCTACTGCTTCCCAGAGAGAGGTAGTTAGCCATGGGACAGGCAGAAGGCAGCATAGATGTGCACCTTTGTAGGCTAACTCTGTTTACAAGAGCTTAATGTTATGTCTCCGATTCTGTTAGTCTATGAAGGTGCGGTTCTGCCCTGCCCGCAGCTTCACAGCCAGTGTCAGCATCTCCGAGCATTCGTTGCCAAAGGAGCTGCCAAGTGCTGTCACTTGACATTTACCGTACGAGCAGGTGAGACCTTCATAAGGCCTGGAGCAGTTGCACCTAAAGGTCGCCCAAAGGTCCACACACGAGCCTCCATGAGAGCAGGGCTGGGCCTGGCACCACTCCGTCCTGTCGCAGCCCAGCGCTGCCAGGGAGGATGCATTGGGAAGGAGATCCAGGGGAAGGACAGCCTGGGAATCGACCTGCAGGTCCTGCAGGCAGCCGATGTAACCCTGCCGGCTGCGCGTGGTGTTGGCTATCCCGCTGCCATCAACCCCCCCAACGTAGGCTTTCAGGAAGGCTGGTGGGAGCAGAGTGGCACTGTCCCCAACCACAGCACTCTGCAGGCAGACTCCTGCATCACAGGATTCGTGCCACAGCTTTAACTCCACCGAGTCCTGCAGAAGAACCTCAGCTTTATGCCACTGGCCATCATCAACCTTCAGTCCCTCCAAGGCCAAAGAGGACTTGGAGTTGTTTCTTTGCACCCCTGCATGCAGTGTGCCACCAGAGAGCTCCAGGAACAGGTAGGCTTCTTCCTGGCCTCGGTAAAAGAGGATGGCATCAGGCAGTGTGGTTCTGAACCGGAGGGACACGCTGGCCACAGGAACCCCTGCCCCGTCCTTCCTGCTCCAATCGCCTGTGGACATGTCAATGGGGAGAAATGTCCTGGAGGCAAAGGAGAAGGTTGTTGGGGTTGAGCACGTGGCATCGTAGAAGCCAGGCTGGCACTGGCAAAGGTGGCCATGGCTCCCTGCCACATACGTTGGGGTGCAGAGGGCCTCATTTTGGCAGTCATGTGTCTGGCAGCCAGTGAGCTGGATGGAGCAGTTCTTCCCGCCCCACACAGTGCCATTCTGGCTGGGGACGCAGCGGCAGGTGTAGTCAGCAATGCCATCCTCGCAGGCAGCCCCATTCTCGCAGGGGCCATCTTCACACTCATTGATGTCAACGGCACACTCCACACCTGGGAAAGAGATTGAGAAACAGGCTCTTATTGCAGGTGATTGGGGCCCCCTCTCCTGCAGTACCAAGCTGGGCAGACCACCCCTTCCTCCCCATCACAGGCAGCTCTTTGGGCTGTTCCCATTCAGTGTAGCCACCGTGGGCCCAGCTCTGCCAGCAAGGGGCTCTGCACTTACTGCTGCCTGCCCACGGGACACAAATGAGTCAGAGATGGAGTGGGCCCCTCTGGTCATCTAACACTCCTGAGACTCCCTCCTGAGGGGGACTGAGGGGCCAATCTGCCACCCCGACCTCTTAGCCCGGCAAGTCTGCTGCTTCCCGGGGGCCCGTATCCGGGACATTACGGAGAGGATCCCAAAGCTCCTTAAACCCACAGACCACTATCCCATGCTCCTTATTCATGTGGGCACCAATGACACTGCTCGGAGCGCTCCCAGCTGGGTCATGAGGCGCTACAGGGATTTGGGAGCGGGGCTTAAGGGTCTGGGGGCACAGGTGGTGTTCTCGTCGATCCTCCCAGTCTCAGGCTATGGGCTGAGAAGGGACAGGAGGATCTATGTGGTCAACCAAAGACTGTGGCGCCGGTGTCATCGGGAAGGCTTTGGCTGTCATGACCACAGCCCGCTCTTTGGCGAGAGAGGCAGCGAGCTGCTGGGAAGAGATGGCCTCCACCTCTCTCCCCTAGGGAGGAGGCTCTTCTCAGCCAGACTGGCTGACCTGCTCCACCGGGCTTTAAACGAAGCCCGCTGGGGGACGGGGGGACTACCGCCACTGCTGGCCCGCTGAGCAATCCTTGCAAAGCCAGCAGATCACGGCGCTTCAGGGAGCGCACCCCTGCCCCAGCCTTGGTAAAACCTGTGGGCAAGGAAGGAGCCCCCCAGGGGGCACTTGCCTGCCTGTACACTAATGCCAGGAGCTTGGGGAATAAGCAGGAGGAGCTCATCCTCATGGTCAGTGCAAACAATTACGATGTCATAGGGATAACGGAGACCTGGTGGGACTCCACCCATGACTGGACCACGGG